TTGTCAATACAGTGCAAGACAACGGCACCCTCAAGCCTCAACCGTCAACCCTAAACCCTATTCCCGAAACCCCAAACCCCAAACCCTCAACCCTAAACCCCAAACCCTAAACCCTAAACCCTAAAACCTAAACCCTCAACCCTAAACCCTAAACCTTAAACCCTAAAGTAAACCCCAAACCCAAAACCCCAACCCCTCGAAGCAGACCACCTGCATCCAAGGCTAACACGCAGGGATCTGAGCGAGGCTTTCTTCTAGTCCAGAGACAAGCAGGTCGACTTAGCAGCCGAATCATTTCTCAGCTCCAGAGGAACATCCCGCTAGAACCCGCGAAGTCAGAAGGAACGTACTTCGATGGGGTGAGTTTGCGGCAGTAGCTGCCACACACGCAGCAAAGGAGCCAAGCGGGGAGCAGCTCTGAAGACAACGAATTACAGCAGGGACTGAAGACGTGCAGCTCCAGAGACCCTAAGTGTCAAGTACACCTCCTAGCAACAGCCCTAAAAGACGAGTATGATGGATCCCAAACCCATAGCGTCTCAAGGCCACATAATCTGCAGAGGGCGCAGTGCACGAATTGTTGATGCCACATCGATCCTTCTTAAGTTTGACATTCCAGACTCCTCGGTGGGCAAGAGGAGGCGTGAGAGAGTGGCAGGGGGCAGAAACGGCCCCGAAAACAAAAAAAGCCGAGCAGCGAGGAATTGCTGAACAGGACCCCATGGTCCCGAGAGCGAGCAGAACCAATCGAAACTGCCTCGCAGATCTATCTGGGGACGTAAGGGTGATCGTGCGAAGGTTTAGGGTTTAGGGTTCACACAGCAGAGAACATTCAGAACGATTGGCATCAACATGCTTTTCCCAAAAACTTCAGAGCTTGTGAGGCGCTTGCCCGTCTGCAAGGCAAACAAAAGCTTACACGAATTAGCACCAGAAGATAGTGCACAGCATTGATATTTTCGATGGTGAGGCAAAAACCTCTCCAAAGGGTCAGGTTGAAAGCTCAGGTGGGACTCAGGTATCCTGTCTGCAGCTAGCAGAGCGAGTCTCTTCATGCAAGGAAGACCAGAGACGAAGCTTCGTCCGCCACTGGAACGCTTGCTCCTCCCACATCCTTTTGGACTTGAGCTTGTGGTCAGGTGTGCATGGAGGCGAGATGGGGTGTTTTGTACTCCGGGCTACCATGTCCTTCACCAGTCCGTACTCCTGCCTGCTCTTGATGACCTCTATGAAAAGCAACCTCTTTGTGGTTCTTTTTGCAGAGTAGACATCATTGGTCTCTGCGACTGGCTGCGTGTTCTCTTTGTCCTGATCCATGAAGAAAACGCTGGTTTGAACACGAAGGGGGGGCCTCTTTGAGCAAAATGCTGTGAATGCAAATGCTGGAAGAGCTGCAGCAGGTCTGTGCAAGGAAGTGTTTGCTCTGCACTGTCGCATGAAATGCCATCTTTGAAACTTCAGAACCAAAACCACGCAAATGCTTGACAGAGCCTGGCCAGCATTGGTCCTGCTCGGCCTAAATGATTTCCCAATCCTGAAAATTGTGAAGCCGGAGGTTGCTATGAGTGGACGTCAGAAACAAAGCCAGCAGGAGCCCAACGGTCACGGCGAGGCAAGAAAGCGCAGAACAAGTAGAAAAACCAAGAATCGTCGATATCAACCACCGCAGCCTGGGCATCGGATCTAAGGGTGAGGAAGAGCACATTCAGAGCAATGGAGACAATGTAAGAACACAAGAAAGCTCGAAGACAACAAGCGCCTGGTGCATGATGGGGCCAGCTGCGTAATCGCTCACCTCAAAAGAAATGTCCGTCGGCTTGAGAAGCAGCCAAAGCCCCAACAAGCCAAAACTTTGGGTTGTCCATGCAAATAACGAAAGAAGAGAGGCGCTGCAAAATAGACAGACACACACGCACAGACAGAGTCACCCTACCTGGAGCAAAACATCGATGTTGTCAATCAGACGACGACGTCTGGCGCGAGGAGATGAATCGTCCAAAGCAATGACAGTGAGCCTGCCATCCAGATCCTGGGATGAGCAACTATTCATGCGACGCACAGCAAGCGCCAATGAAGACAGGTCGCAGTATGAACCAAATGGGTGGCCAGGTCATCCAGCCTCTGTCTTATCCCATGGGTCTGCAAGAATGCCGGGGAATTGGCGGCCCGAATGGCCAATATCTTGGCCACCTGGGAAGCCAGCGAGAAAGGCAACCACAAAGAACAACTCACCATCGTGAGTCGAAAGAAAGAGAAGAGCAGAGAGAGAGAAAGAGAGAGTGAGAGTAAAGAGAGAAAGAGAGAGAGAGAGAGAGAGAGAGAGAGAGAGCGAGAGAGAAACAGAGAGGGAGAGAAAGAGAGAGATACGAGAGAAAAGGGAGAAAGGGTAAAGTAAAACATAGACCTACACCAAAAGAATGAGAAAGAGAGAGAGGAAGAAATAGAAAGAACAAAAGGAAAAGCCTAAACTAAATAACCCTAAATAACCCTACATAACCCTACATAACCCTAAATAACCCCAAACCGTAAACCCTAAACCCTAAACCCTAAACCCCAAACCCTAAACCCTACACTAAACCTTAAACCCTAAGCACTAAACCCTAAGCTTGAAACCCTTACTAAACCCGAAACCGTAGACCCTAAACCCTTAACCCCAAACCCTAAACCCTTAACTGCAAATTTTGCCAAAGCAGCAGCAGCTCCAAAAGTCCATGTGTAGGCCTGGCTGCGTCGCATCCTTGCACCACCAGACCAGGAGCCGCCCAATGACACGGACGCGACAGGTGTAGTCGCGATTGATAGGAACCTAAGCGAAAACGGGCAATGATGAACAGGAAAGTTCAGGCATCGTCGCAGGATCAAGCACAGAGTGGCTCTCGCAGTCACTGCCTCAATATCTCTGGAGATCTTTCTCTTTCTCTCTGCTGTGTCTCTGTTCTCTGACACTATCCATGTCCGTAAGTTTTCTTTCTTTCTGTCTTTTTTGCTTTCTGTCCTTTGTTCTTTCTTGGCGGCTCCTGCTTCTGTTTAGGGTTTAGGGTTTCTGCAGCACAGTCTCTGAAGAGGGGCAATCCGAGCGCGTGACGTAACATGAGCCCGATGCACAGGGTTTAGGGTTTAGGTTTCGGGTTGAGGGTTTCTCTCTTTCTCTATTTCTCCCTTTCTTTCTTTCTCGCTTTCTCGCTCGCTCTGTCTCTCTCTCTCCCTCTATCTCTCTGCTCCCTCTCCCTGGTCCATCCACGTCAAGAAACTCTCGGGTGAGAAGATGATGCATGGACAGGTACCGCAGAGCAAGCAGCAACATTTTGTCTGTTCCAGCCAACTTCGTCGGCTTCCTTGGTAATTACAAAATTGTTGTCAAGCTCAAGAAACAAACAACCAACAGCAGGAACAACCCGTCCAAATGCAAAACAAAGGCACACCGACTCGTGACCAAAGCACCCCATTCGGACACTCACGACTGTGTAGAGGTTCCTCAACATGGCAGCCTGGCAGAGAACAGGGAACCCACGGGGTGTAGGTACTTGTACATACAGCCAGAAACACAGAAGAAAAACATGGCCTGGAGGTTTGGGTAAAAGAAAATTCGGGAGGAGGCCGGCTGCTCGATGATGTGCCTCGCCAAGATGGTGGCCAGAAAGTCTGCGAGCTCAGACTCGAAATCCTCTCATGTGTTTGAATGATAGCCACACGAGAAAGAAAACTAGCGTGACAGTACCTTGCACATACCCCTATTTTGACTTGACAAGAAACTGCCATGTCGTTGCCCTGCTTCACAGCAGGCGCATTGGTGTCGCCGGAGGGGTCAAGATGTCTCCCCCTAAGAAAGCTCGTGCAGATGACCAAGAAGAAATTGAACATGCACACTGGGCAAAGCTAACACACCTTGCTGCCAGAAAACGTGACACTGAAGCAAGCTGCCACCCAACTCGAGCACTTGATTCCGGACCAGCAGAGGCTTCCCATCTTGAGTCTCGATGCCAGCTGGATGCCTGGGTGTACTTCAAAGTACCACCACGCACGCAAACTGATGATCATTCTGGAATTACAAACTATGATCAACCGAGGAGCACCTCACTTGGCCCTGGTACTCCAGGATGTTCTCTACCACGCTATTCTCTAGCTCGAATGTGGATACTATCAATCCAGCCTGCCAACATGCAGCCCATGTGGGATAAACAGAAACGGAACACAGGACAAAACGAAATATATCAGTTCCAAACCCAAGCCTGGGCCACAGAAGAGCTCAAGCGACCCTTTCCGCTGTAGATCTCCAGCAAATCCAGCCATCTTTCACTCGAGTGGGGAGCCCAGTAATCGGGTGAGGCCACCCATGGGCAATGATTCGCCAAGATATCCCGAAAGCGCTGGGAGAGATGAGAGAAATGGTCCATGGCAGAAAGAGAACCAGGAATCTAACAATCTGGAATCAAACAAAAAGCTGCCGGGAGCGGGCGAGCGTTACGAGAGCAACACAAACGCCAACTGAAATATGAGAAACACATATTCGACACATCTGGAGCAGTTACAAAGCAAAGTGAGGCAGGATCAGGCTGACAGTAACAAAAGGTTGAGGCAGCACGGTGTTTTTCTAGAAGCACGATGTCTGAGGGAGCATGGTATGGGAACCCCTTGATTTAGGGTTTAGGGTTTAGGGTTTAGGGTTTAGGGTTTAGGGTTTTGGGTTTTGGGTTTTGGGTTTACCATGATTTTCGGCAGGCTTAAGGCTTTTGTCAAGGACTCATGCTTGATTAGAGCTTCCTAAAAATTAGGGCCAAATTGCAGCGAACCCACTAAAGAAGACTGCCCCTAGCGGAAGAGGGCCTGCGGCCCCGTTTAGGGTAGGGGCAAGCATGGGCCTCTCTAGACCCCCTCTCTTAAGGACCCGGTGCTTGTTTTCCGAAGTACATCTCGCAGGGTTTTCCGAGGCCCCCAGGCCCTAAACCCTATAAACCTTAAAACCCTGCGGCCGACGGCCCCACTTTCCGTTGCTCGTTCAGGCGAGCGCAAAAGGCCACCTCAAAATCGTGCAGCTCCTGCTGAAGGTGCGGATTTTGGACACCCTGGATGCGTTTCCAAGCTGTGTTTTTTTATTGCACCCTTGAGGCCATAAGAAAGACCAAACCCTCAACCTTCGGTTTGGGGCTCTAAGGGCTGTAGGGCGGTTTAGGGGGGTTTTGGGGGTTTGGCGGATTCCTAAACCCTAAACCCTAAACCCTAAACCCTGAACCCTGAACCCTGAACCCTAAACCCTGAAACTCTTAGATTCGTGTGCTGAAGAAGGCAGGAGCCGACGCCACCATCGCTGATTTCTCGGGAACAACCCCGGCGGCTTTGCAGCGAAGATAGGACCCAGCATAGGCCCTTGCAAGGGTTTAGGGTTTAGGGTTTAGGGTTTAGGGAGGATCCATAGAGTAGGCCCTTGTTCCCCTTGCTTTTTGGGTTTAGGTTCCCTTATAAGCTACCCTGTAAACCAAAAGGGGCACTCTTGCTTTCCTACGTTTCTCTTGGGTCTAGTCTGAGGTACCCTAAAGACCGTACTTATGAGTACACAAGGAACCTCCCAGGTAGGCTTCGTGGAACTTATGTTCTTGGGATTCGTTCCTAAACCCTAAACCCTAGCCCTAAACCCTAAACCTCAAACTCCGTTGGGCAGCCCGTATACCGACCTGAACACCAATGGATACGAGCAGCTCTGCGCTCAGACGAGCACGCCTGAATGTAACGAACGCTGTTGAGAGCATTGTTTCGCCAGCTTCTGGCTGCGGTCTAGGGTTTAGGATTTAGGGTGTAGGGTTTAGGGTTTAGGGAGTAGGGTTTAGGGTTTAGGGTTTAGGGTTTAGGGAGTAGGGTTTAGGGTTTAGGGTTTAGGGGGTTGAATTGAATCAATTCTCGAACCAGGGTTTGTGTTGCGTTCATTCCGTGTCTGTATCATGCCAGGGTCGTTACATCGTCCCCAACCTCCCGGAAGTGCACTTGACTTGTGGAGACCTACTTGGAGGTTCAGGATGGGTGTAGCTATGCTTCTCGCCGTATTTGGGGTACAATTATATCCCCTTCTTAAAAGTACCTATGAACCTTCAAGTATCCGATGTACCGCCCCAGTTGATGGTGGCATGCAGCCTGGGTCACGCCGAAGTTGTCCACTGCTTGGTGACATGGCAGCGCTGGGCCAGAAACCCTCAACCCCAAACCAAATAGAGCGCTTTGCAGGGTTCCGTGGGGGGACATGAAGTACATGATTCCTGAAGTCCCTGTTATCATTGAGGTTATTTACGGGGGGAACCTAGGCTGGGTAGTATAGAGGGGGGGGGGGTAGTAGATATTAAGAAGCAGAAAAGGGTCTCTTGTTGTCCGCTGGGTTTCTGAAGATTCTCCAAAGGCCAAGACTTGCGGGCACTATAAAGGCATAGCATCCCAAGCTCGCAGCCTGCAATCCAGCATCCCAAGCTCAAGTCCCAAGAAATCTGAGCCACTGGAGCCACCTCAACACCTGAACCGCCTGAGCCCCTCAAGGCAAAGAAGCATTCACCTCGAACACCTAGGTCAACCCGAGCACGGTACATGAAGGTACCCTTAACATGCCAACTATCGCTTACCCACATCAGCCAAAATGGTTTAGGGTTTCGGGTTGGGGGTTGAGGGTCTCGGGTAACATGAACCCAAGCCGTAAACAACTCAAGCGTCCTGGGGGGCGGAGGTAGAAGCCTCGGCCACCATCGACGAGCCGGATCAGCACGGGAGACTCGGGCCTGCGGGATGCGGGGCCGGATGCAGGGCACCCTAAACCCTAAACCCTATAAACCCTAAACCCTAAACCCCAAACCCTAAACCCTAAACCCTAAAGCCTAAACCCTAAACCTGAACCCTCAAGGTTTTGAGGATTTAGGGATAGGCGCAACGCTCAACTCCAAGTACTAGACTGATCCTCCTTTTACCCCTACCGACTACGAAACCCTACCGAACTCCTGGACTCGGAAACCCTAAGACCCTAAACCCGAAGCCCCAAACCCCAAACTCTAAAACCCCTAGCCCTACTACAAGCGGCCATCCAGCTCCGCCCAAGGAAGACCTCCCTGCAAGTGGCTGCGGGCGAAGGTCATTTGGAGGCCTCCCTCCGGGTCAGGGTGAAGGTTTTAGGTTTTAGGGTCTGGGGCGCGCGTGGTTTACTGTACTTGTTGGGTGAATTTGTATATGTATATACATATATACACATATACATATAATAATGTAGTATGCAGGGTTTACTTGTTTATTGATTTACGGACATAGGGTTTCCCCTAAGCGTTGAGGGTTCAGGGCGTATGTTGGCAGAGGGTTGTGGAGCTTGTTTCTTGACTCTTGAGTCTCTCCAAGGAGCAGCGGGCGAATGGGGCCGAGAGAGGGTTTAGGGTTTAGGGTTTAGGGTTTCGAGATTGGGGTTCTGCGACTGGTAGCGGGTACCCTCTGCAAGGTTTAGGGTTCAGGGGTTGAGGGCCAGTTGAGGGTAGTCACTTTCCACCCTGCGTCCTCACCCTAAGGGTCCATGTACCTTTGGGCCTTAAAGTGCTTCCTATATAGGGTCTTTGGGGCCCAAGTATATAACCGTCAGGTACATGGACCCTTCGGGTCAGTCCTAAATCCTCAGCCCGACACATCGACTGCGCGAGGTCGTGCGCTACCTTTGCGAGCAAGGTGCCGGTCGCAAGGGTGCTTGCTGAGTTGTCTGGGCTTGGGGTCTTAGTACCCTGCACGACCCCACCGAACTACCCCCTACCCAGCCCAAAAGAAAACTTACCTAAAGGGGCATTTTGTATTTGCTGGCCTTTTTGTGAATTTGGGCCTTGTTGTGAATTTGGCTCTAGGGTTTAATCTAGGCGTGTGCTTTCAGCTTTGACCTCTCAGCCCTAAACCCTGAACCTCAAACCCGAAACCCTAAACCTTAAGCCCGCTTAGAAGCGACCCCCAGAGCCCCCAAAACCATTCAAAGGGGTTTAGGCTTGAGGGGTCCCTGAACCCCCATGGGCACCCTAGACCTGTAACCCTCACCACCCTAAACCCTGCCTGAGGTTCATGGGTAATTATACTCATACTTGAAGTAGGGTCTTAAACATAGCCGCCCTACTTTAAACCCGAAATCCTCAACCCATGAACCTCCGAAGGCATTGTAGGAACCTGAATAACGAGAAAGGGGCTTTGAGGGACGGGAGTCTCGTAGTTCAAATATAAAGGGAACATAGGGGATATCCCTACTTTGGACCCCCAAATGGGAGGATTCCCTTAACATCAGGACCCCAAGAAGGAACCCCCTAGTTTCGGAAACCATATGGGTGGTTGTCAAACTTACGATCCGTTTTGGGGCACCCTAAATATGAAGTGCCGTATTCTAGTAGGGATCCAAAAAGGGACCATAATTTTGACAACTATTACTCTCTAGGTGCGGACAAAGAGACCTTCGACCAAAAGGGCCGAACTCCGCTCCACCGGGCAGTGGACGCCGGCAGACTGGACGTGGCGCGTTTCCTCCTCGAGGCGCCAAAACAGGGTGTATGGTTTAGGGGTTTAGGAGTGTAGGGTTGAGGGTTTAGAGTTTATGCCCCACTTCATATGTGGGGGGTTTCCGAAGTTAGGATTTTTGCCCTTTGTAAGGAGCTTACTAGAACACAGAGTAGAGTATTTTGGGGCCTATCAGGGGTACCCTAGGGTCACGAAGAACCCTCTGTGTGGTGGCGCGTCTTGTCTTCTAAAGTTCGGGCTTTGTAATGCTCAGCCCTCCGTTCAGACCAATTCTGGGCAACTAAACCCTAAACCCTAAACCCTAAACCCCAAACCCTAAACCCTAAACCCTAAACCCTAAACCCCAACAATTGGGAACCTCAGGAACTGAGGAGGTGGGTAGGTGCCTTGTGGACGCTATGGATCTTGAAGTGTCACTACGTGTGGTTCCGACCCACAGAGCTCAAACCCTCCTTTCTTCGCCCGTTTTTACACTCTATAGGCCCCGAGTTTAGGGTTTAGGGTTTAGGGTTTGTATAGCGTTTAGGGTTTAGAGCGACCAAATTTTCTAAGAAGCCATACACCTGCAGCCTACGGACCCTTTGCTGCAAGGCCAGGGCGGATAAGGACCAGCCTGATCATCAGGGCAGGACAAGGGCTTGGGGGGAGGGGGGGGGGGGGGGGGGGGGGCTAAAGTCTCGAAGAGTTTGTTTTGTTTGTTTTTCTTTGCTTCGGGGTCTTGTGGTTTGTGGGTTAGGCGGGGCTATGTCTTCGGAGAGGCTCCGAAAGATGTACACTACATGGCCAAGATACGATTAAGCCTCAGGACTATCAGGGTTTAGGGTTTAGGGTTTAGGGTTTAGGGTTTAGGGTGTAGGGTTTAGGGTTTAGGGTATGCAGTTGTTCAGCCTTGGGAGACCGTCAGCCTTGGGAGACTGCGTATGAAGCCTGCGGGAACATGGCAATCAGAAACGCGGCAAGTTGCGGGGGCAAATTAGCCTTCTAGATCCCTAAACCCTAAACCCTAAACCCTAAACCCTAAACCCTAAACCCTAAACCCTAAACCCTAAACCCTAATCCGGAGAACGCGTGAGGACTCCCATGCACGATGCTGTCCTGGCAAGCCAGTCTGCGCTGCCCGGGTTCGTTGTAAGGTTTGAGGTTTGGGGTTTAGGCTGCTCAGGGTTTAGGGGTTTAGGCTTAGGGTTTAGGGTTGTAAGATTTGAGGTTTGGGGTTTAGTCTGCTCAGGGTTTAGGCAGTAGTCAATTCGGTCGAGACCGGCATCTCACTGATTAATTATTGCTCAATAAGGTAATGGTATTGCGTGCACTGGCTCGGGTTGGTTGAAATGTTTGAAGAGCAACCCTGAACCCTGAACCCTCATGTCCATTAAGCCAGAGGCCCCTGTGTTTCCATAGTGTAGGATTCGGAGCTTTGAGGTTTAGGACTTAGGTTAGTGACATCGTCCCACCGGAACACTAAAAGCGTACGATTTCGCATAGGCACATCCAAGGCGGCCCGGAATCTACGTATTCGGAAGTTTCGGGTTTCTGGAACCCAGAAACCCGGCACCGCACATTGCTCCCTTCGCTTCGCAAGCAAGACCATAGCAAGACCACACGCGGAAGTTGTGACAGGCATGTACTGGCACTTTTG